AGAACTTTTGCACACAAAAATTTTGAAGGCAAATAAAATAGCTAAATAACTTTTTACACCTATTCTATATCAGTTTCTTTCTGAATAAGGTTATATATTTTCAAAATAACAGTTTTTATAACTATTATATTACTTGAACTATTACTGTAATCAAGAAAAATAAAGAAACCTTCTTCATGAGTCACCAAATAATATTGTATTTTGTTGCTACTATCTTTATTTCCATTTTGCTAATTTAAAAAGTAAAAATAATATTTCACATTATCCAAAAGTTTTTCTTGATAAATTATATTATCATTTTCATCATATTTCACAAAATACATAAGTTTCTCATCAAGATATTATCTTAGTACTAGATTAATAATAATTTTTGAAGCAATTGTTATATTTTGAAATAAGTCTTTCAATAAGCTATATAACAAACTTGTTTCAAATTCTGTTTATATTTGAGATTCTGTAATTAAACTCTCAAGTAATTGAGAAAGAAAGAAATTATATTAAAGAATAGAATAATATTTTTGATATTGTTAAAGATGTCAATATTGTTTTCAATTAGATAGATTATTATAGAAACTTTAATGTAAAAATTTTTAAAAGCTTTTTTTTTTATCCTTTATAAAATACTTCATGAAAAAAATGGACTAATAGATATTTATATAGATAGGACAAACCATTATAAATAGCAAACTGAAAGTATTCCAATATCAAGTACAAAAAAAATAAAATTGTTAATTGACTAATTACTTATAATATTTTTTTTTCTAGTAAACTAAAAAAACTAGAACTTTATGAACTAGTTCAAATAAACAAAGAAAAAATACTATTTTCTTGTGTTGAAATAGCAAAACAATATAATTATCAAGTTTTTTTTACTTCTTATTACTGTGAGTTTTAACCAATCAAAGATATTTGAACAGTTATAAAGGATGAAGTTGCAAGTTTAAGTTCACATACAAATCTTTTATCTATTTGAAATATATTTTTAAATATATTTAAAAATAAAATTAATGTATATATTATAATTAGATTTTGAAAAAAGGTACTTAAAACTATCAAGAAATATTTTGATTTTGATAAAAATCTACAATTAATTAATGAAGAAATTAATAACTATGATAATTTTGATGATGATATATAAATTCCATATAAAATTTATATATCATACTTCTGAATATGTATTGATATCATTTAAATAAAAAAAAAAATTAATAAATTAAAAAATTTTTTATTAATATTTTTTGAAAAACAAATCTTTTTGTATCAAACAATAATACAAAATATTTAAATAATATATTAGAATATTATATTTTAATATATTAGTATCATTTGAATAATATTATTTTATAGTGTTTATATATTATTGTAAAATATTTTTATTTAATTTCTGATATAATAATAATTTACATTTTCTTCAGAAAGTTATTTTCTTTAAGTCAGCTAAGTAAATTATTTAATTTTCAAGATAACAGTTTTGAACTAATGAATAAAAACAAGTTGAAAACTTTTAACTTAATTGTTAAGATTATTCTATTTATCTATTTCAAAATTCTAGACTCTTCTTATTATTTATTAAGTTATAATAGAACTTCAAAGGTACAGAGTAATTATAATAATCTTCTAGTTATTTTAAATTATATTAGTTTTGAAGGATTTTTTTATTTCGCTATTCATGTAATTGGATCTTGTTCCTTATAAAATAAATCAGGATAGAATACTAAATTTATCTCTTAGTTCAAAGTAGTGATATTAACTATAAAAACCAGAACATTTTGTAACTGACAAACTAAAATAGTCAATTGAATAACAAATCGATCTAATTCTTAAAACTAAAATTCATTATCTCAAGTGATATAAAAATAATTAGTTTTTGTTTTTTTTTCTAATTTTTTTTTTCAGAATAATTATCAGAACTTTTTAATAATTTTCTATCAAATAAGACTTTGGATAAGAAAGAGAATTGGAATAAATAAATTAGAAAAAGGTTTAAAAAAAGATTTTCAAGATCTATCTTAACTATTCTATTGAAAATAAAAATGAATAGCTTATATGTTCTATACAACTAGTATCAAATTAATATTATCTAATTGGGTAAGTTAGTTATTAGAAATTTTAGAAGTATATAAAACTTTATAATACTAATAAAAACATTAATTTATTCTTTAAGGTTAGAATAAAGTAAGATTCTAATGTATAAATAGTAATAGAGTAAAATTGAATAAGTACAGAGGATTAAAAAAGAATAGAATAATGTTAATAAAGACTAAAAAAAGATAATTATGCCAAATGACAACAATAGAAAAAAAATAAAGTAAATAATAAATTAAAAGAGTTCAAAGAAAAGTTTACATAGACTTAATAAATAAATAATTAGAAAAATAAAAAAAATGTAATTTCAGCTAAGTTATATAATAAAATGAATAAAAAAATAAAGAAATATAGTTTATTTTAAGAATTTAAAGACTTAAGATTATATAATATTAATAATTTAAATAATCTTGAAAATCAAAGAAATCAAAACAAGATGAAATTATTTTATACTATACAAATAAATAGAAGAATATAATAAGAAAAAATTTTATTTAAATAAAGAAATATTTACAAGAAAAAGAATATCTAATTAATTAATAATTTTACTTAAGACTATATAATTATAAGTATTAATTATTTACAATTATTACTACATAAAATGAATAAAAGAATTGAATTATTACTTGAATTGGTGTTCTACTTGTTATATGATGAAGAAAAAATTAAAACTTTATATATATATTTTAAAAACTATTATAAAAATATAAATTAATTTATTAGTTAATTACATATTAATAAAAATAAAAAAAAATAAAAATAATAATAATAATAAAATAAAAATAAATCAACTTTGCTAAATTGAAGTGGTCCTAGTAGAGGTGATAGTATTTATAAATTTTAATAATTTCACTTTAAGAAGTAATCCTTTGTTTGATGTAGTAGTTCACTCTAAACATTTCAACAATTTGTTTACAATATATTTGAAATCATGTGATATATAACTAGTACAATAAATAAAAATTATAAATAATGACAAATAAAATGAAAAAAAATAATAATAACAAGAGTGATTTTAAGAGGATACAGTAAAGAAATCAAAATTAAAGCAAGGATCAAGATAAGTGAATTAATATGGATAAAACAAATATAAAATAGAGATAAGTGCAAAAATCATAATTAAAAAAAGGTAAAAATAATAATAAAAAATATAGTAACAGATAAAAGGAAGATTATAAGGTAAAAATAAAAGATAACAGGATGTGATAGTTATAAATGAAGATATAAAAATAAGCTAAATAAATAGAGGATAAAGAAAAAATAGTAACAATTATACTTGTACACAAAATTATTTTGAAATCTTGAAATTATAATTTTGAAAAAAAAAAAAGTTAAAATAGTTTTTCATAGAAAACATAATTATTTTACTTAAAATCCTAAAAATTTTTTGACTACTCAAATAAATTCCTTGATTAAAAATATACTTAACTAAATATTTTTTACTTCTATATATAGAATAAATTCTGAGTAAATTTCAAAAAGATAAAATATTCCAAAAATCAAAAATCAATTTTGAGAACATGTATAGTAACAGGTCAAATACAAAAGATATGCTGTATCAAAAAGAAATTTTGATTTAGCAGATTATAATATATGATGCAATAGGACAGTTGATTGTTACTAATTTTTAGCTGATCTATAGTATAGGAATTATCATTTAGTATAGTGATTCTTTTGTATTTGACTAGTGTATGATAAATAAGTAAACTTTACTTATCACTTCTAAATATATTTTTTGAAGGTCTTCAACTATTGAATAAATTGAATATCTGATTAAAAAAAAGTTATGAAATAATGATTAAGTATCAAATTTAAATAAACAGATTAAATGTGAAAGATTTTTTAATTGATTATTTTATTATTATAAATAATAAACAATTAATTTTAAATTCCAGCAGTAATTGAACTTGTAACCTCTTGCATCCAAAATAACAAATTATATTATTATACTATAAAACCTTTAACATTAATAAGTGCAAAATTTTGTTATTATAATAATAAGTCTTTTAAGAAAATTTACAATAAAAAAAAAATGATAATTCACTAGGGCTCCAGCGGGAATTGAACCCACGACCTCTCGCACCCAAAGCGAGAATCATACTACTAGACCATGGAGCCAATTTATTATATCGCTGACACATTAAATTTCTATATATTAATATAAACTTCCAATTATGTTAAATAATTTTTATTAATAAAAAATATACCTTAGGAAAATTTTGCTAAGCCGGCTAATGCTTTAGGACACTCGGGCTTGTTTTTATATATTGTATCTTCGTAACAAAGTAATGATGAAATTATTTTTCGTTTAGTTCACATGATTAAGCAGTGTCCGTATTGTAAACGGATGTATTTTCTTTAGATTTAGAAAATTGGTAACTTGGGATTAAATTTGCTAATTTCTTCTATTACTGACATGTTTCGTAATTTCGCGATAATGATTTTATACGCTGTTATAAGACAATACTTGACTTTATTAGGAAGATAATAAAGATAATGTAAATTTTGTGCAAGTATAAAACTATTTATTGGAAAGCGGAGACAATATTTGTATTTTGTATTGTTTCTCCTTCAATAAAGTATACATTGATTTTTCAAATAAATTTTGATAGTAATGAAAAGTTTTATTTTAAGTAATTTAAATGCAAAAATTAAAGTGTACATATATCGAAATGTCCATTTGTCTTTTGAAGAAACTATCGAAAAAATTACATTCGCAATCGTATATGGTATATTTCCAACTTATTCTTAATTCACCGTTTTGAACTTTTACTTACAATTTTTACAAAAATTTCTTACCAAATACTACATTTGAGCCTCTAGGTCCCATAATATAATCAATAAAAAATCGTGACACAGAGCTTCTTTTTTTATTTATTTAAGTTAATAATTTGCCATTTAAATATTTCGAATATTTAAGTCAAAACATATTTAGGACCATCACCACCTTCTGGTGTAACCCAATCAATGTTCTGCGAAACGTCTTTGATATCGCAGGTTTTACAATGTACACAATTTTGTGAATTGATTTGTAAACGTTTCTGCCCTGAGTTTTCTTCGTCATCTACAAATTCATATACACCGGCTTGGTTAAAAAATAAAAAAATAAAAATAAACAATTAGTATGATTAATGTTATTATTGAATGCATTCAATGGTAAAAATTACCTGGACAGAATCTTTGTTCTGGACCATCAAATATTTTCAAATTCCTCTCGACAGGAATACTTTTATCCCTTACACGTAAATGCACTGGTTGGTTTTCTTTGTGGCTAGTGTTACTTAAAGAAACACTATCTAAAAGATCAAACGTTATCACACCGTCAGATTTTGGATATTCTATCGGCTTACATTCTCTTGTTTAATAGAATGAAAAGAATAGTTAAAAATCAAGTAATCATTCATTCATAAATTTTTATAAAAATTATAATCATATTATTTACTTTGCCGGTTTCGTACAAGCATGATCTTCGTGATGCTTGAATGTCCATGGTGCATGACCTCTTAAAATCACCAAATCCAATCCTGTATAGAATATAAATCCCCAAACACCTAGAGGATTATTAAAAGAAGGACGTACATTTCGTACTTTATATAGTTCTCCGTAAATCCACGATTCTTTGATAGATTCTTCATATGCAGTTAAAGTAATAGGTTCATTTGTAGAATTCTTAGATGTAATAGCTTCATAGGCTGCTTCAGCTGCTAGCATGGATGATTTCATTGCTGTATGTGTGCCTTTAATTTTTACTACATTCAAAAATCCTGCTGTGCATCCAATAAGAGCTCCACCGGGAAATATTAATTTAGGAATTGACTGATAACCTCCTTCATTGATAGCTCTTGCAGCATATGAAATGCGTTTACCACCTAAAAGGCAATTCTTAACGAACGGATGAAGTTTATATTTCTATAAAATAAATAAAATTAAATAAAAAATAAATTCATTAATTTACAAGGGAATTATATCTAAATTTGGTATATTTAATTTACCTAATTTACCTGAAATTCTTTATAAGGGTTCAAGTATGGATTCTGGTAATCTAACCCTACAACGTATCCTACTTGCACGATATTATTCTCCATATGATACAAAAATCCTCCTCCATATGTTTTCCAGTCCATCGGATATCCTACTGTGTGTGCAGTATATCCTGGTTTGGCTTTTGCTGGATCAATCTCCCACACTTCCTTTATCCCTATTCCATATGTTTGAGGTTGTTTACCTTCGCGAAGATTAAATTTTCTAATCAATGTTTTAGTAAGAGAACCATGACAGCCTTCAGCAAAAAGAGTGATTTTGGCATGAAATTCCATTCCACGTTCAAAATTGTTTTTTGGTTTAAAATTTTTATCGAGACCCATGTCATTAGTAGCGATACCACGTACACTGCCATCTTCATTATATAAAACCTAAATTCAAAACATTAAACTGATTATTTGTTTAAAATAAAATTGTGAACAAAAATTTACTAACCTCACTTGCGGCATAACCAGGGTATATTTCAACACCAATTTCTTCGGCTTGAGTACCCAACCATTTTACAAAATTGTTCAAACTGACAACGTAATTACCTTCGTTTGACAATTGTGGTATAATTGTAGTTGGAAGAGGAATGGCTCGATTCTTGGTGAAGAATATTAAACTTTCTTTTGTTGCTGGTTGGTTTAAAGGAGCACCTCGTTCTTTCCAATCAGGAATTAATTCATTAAGAGCTCGAGGTTCTATAACTGCACCTGAAACTGTATGAGCCCCTACAGATTTTTATAAAGAATAATTTTGGTAAAAAAAAAATGAATCTTTTTTTCTAGAAAATAAAAAAAAAAAAGTAGAATGCATACCAAGTTCACTGGCTTTTTCAATTACGACTACTCTGATTTCTTTTCCTTCAGCATTTGCAAGTTGCTTTAGTCGAATTGCAGCAGATAACCCTCCTGGTCCCCCACCAACTATCACAACATCGGTTTCTTCTACAAATCGTGGTTCAGTAAGTCTTTGGTCAGAAACGGCAGCAAATTGTAATGAAGGTGTAGAAAGTAAACCACGTGAAGAAACGTGAGGAACTAATTTTCTGAAGTAACAATTCTGCTTTAAAATATGATTTTTAGGTATATTTCCAAACGCTAAATTTCGCAAAATAGAGTGCGTTGGAACAAGAAACGAAGATAGACGGAAAACCATATTCACAAAAAAACAATTTATCCAAGGTCAAAGAGTTAGTCAAAACTGTGAACCATTTTTGTTCCTTTCAAGAAAACGCATCTAATATCTAATCGTGATCGATTTTATCAAATCTGTAAATTTACTATTTTGCATAGAGATGTTCACATCGTCCAATTAAATACAATGAGCGAAGAATTGAACGAAGTTGGAGAAGAAAATCCTATAGAAATCATAGATAACGCTTTGGAATTAAATGGAACTAATGATGATCCCATAGAATTAATTGGAAATAACAATTTTTCAATTTCAGGGGAAGAAAATAATCAGTCTTTTATTAGTCAAAAAAGAAAGAATAGGAAAGAAAAGAGACGATATAAAAATGGAAAACGTTTTAACAGCGGTAAAGATATGTCTGAAACTACTACTTTTGTTCAGGTAAATATATGATTTTGTTGTATCCGCAAGTTTAATCTTTAATAATTATCGAACTTATCGAATTTTATTGAATCAGTCAGTTAATACAAAAGTAGTTAAAAAACCACCTAATTACTTTTTATCAATTCGAATTGATTATAAAGTAATTCAGGAGAATCTCGCAGAATTCACTAATTACGTAGAAAAGAATTTTCCAGAATATAAAAAATTATTAATTAAACCCAAACAGGTAATGATATATTAAATTGAAAGAATTTCTTTGATAAATTTTAACATTATTTTCATTATTTAGTGTCATATAACTCTCTTTGTTCTCCGCCTCGACGAAGATAACATTGATCAAGCAAAGGAATGCTTGTCAACGAGTCGAAATGTTGGTTATTTATTCAATTATTAATTATTTATAATTATTTATAAATTTTAGCTTTAAATTTTTTTCAAAAATAATGGATAGATTCTAGATCAAAATTGTCCGAAGGGTGGTCTATCGCTACATTTGAAAGGAATAGGTAAACAAATCTTTTAATATTATTATTTGTTATATCCTATTTTAGAAAATTATATTATTAATTATATATTATTTTGTTAGAAACATTTGGAAATCGGGTGGTTCATACTTTACCCGAGTGTAGTCCTGACTTAGATTCCTTTACCAAACTCACCTACGCCCTTCACGATAAATTTAAAAAAAATGGTCTGGTGGATAATGATATCCACAAAGAATTCAAACCTCATGTAACATTGATGAGACTAAGATACCCTATTAAAATCAAGTCTAAAGACCAAAGTAAGAAAATAATAAAATATATTCCGAAGGAAATATATGAAAATTTTAGAGGTAAGAATCTTCAACATTTATTATTCATTTGAGAATTAACAATTATCTTCTGGAATCTCAACAATTATATGTTTTCGATATAGAATGTGATTTTGGAAAGCATTTTATAAATACCATTGAATTGTCTTCGATGCTCATGCCCAAAGATGATGATGGTTATTATGCTAAAATAGAAGCAATGACATTCTGATGCTTGACTCAAAACCATAATGTATTTTTATCAATGCAAGTGAAATTAGATCATGCAGGGTGTCAATCTTTTTTCTATGATTTTTTGTCTCGAACTGTGTAACATTATTAAAATATTTAAATATTCTAAATTTTAAAAGTTAAAAAATCCTGTTGTTTAAAAGAATCTTGAATGAAAAGATCTCCTTTAATTGAAATCTTAATAATTAAAAGGATTTTGATTTATATTTTTTATTAAAACCTGTTCAAATTACCACTTATATAATAACAAAAAAGTATAGTATTGTATAAGGCTCAATTAATATTAAGGCTGGCTCAATAATTGTACCTCTGGCTAATTGATTTTCTCCTGGTTAAATTCTGACTAAATTCTGGTTCAATGGCTAAATTCTGACTCATTGACTAGATTCTGGCACAATTTTTGATCGGCTGGTGCAACTCTAATCACGTGATAATATGGTTAATTATTGATATTAATATTTTAATAAATTATATGAATATTGATGCTGCAAAGATAAAATAAAATATGAATTTGTAACTAAGAACTAAAGCTTTTAATTTATCATAAAAATATTCTAGTAGAAAATTGTTTCAAATTATATAAAATCAATTTGAATTAAAATAAAAATAATTATTTTAAACAAAAACTTTAAATCACACCAGTGGTGTCATATACCATATCATGTGATCATATGACTTTAAATGTGATCTTATATTAACAAATATAATGAATATGATTGGCAAGAAAGCCTTTTGAAAATGTGATTATTAAAATAAGAAATAAATGTATTTATATCTTAACAAATAATACATGTCACACTTAATACTTAGTCATGTATAATATAATATTTTTTTTCACATTTCTCCTTCTACTTCTTTAACTTTTTCTCCTAACTTCTCTCATAATAGGGTGTCACTAGAAGAAATACTTGAAATAGAGCTGTCTGATTAAGTTCCATTAGAGGAAATATACAAAATAGAGCTATTTGATCAAAATAATATCCATAACTTTGACTTAACTAAAAATCTGGAAGATATTTCTTCTAACAAGCTTAATAAAGGTGAATCATTTTATCCAGTAATAATAGAAATATTTTTTAATGATTGAACAAAACTTGACAAATATGTAGATGCTTAGAGGTGTTATTTTTATTAAAGAAAATAGTAGATGTCATTATAGATATAATGACATCTATTTATGTTATATTGTTATCTACTTATGAGTATATTGTGACCTACTTATAAGTAGATATCTATTTTACTATCTATTTAGCTTGATATTTGTTTCCTCTCAATGGTATTTTTAACTTTTTTTGATTATTTGACTGCTTTCCTTAATTGTGACCGAGGCATGTAGTCTGATGACAAAAGTTGGTCACCATTGTCATGTGAACTGTTATTGTCTCAGGTATGTGACCTGATGACAAAAGTCAGTCACATGTGAACTATTATATATTGAGGTGACAATGCATTCAATTATATATCGTTATTTGTGGACCTGATGTAAGAGCTATGTCCGAACTGGGTACATAGTACTTTAGCTTTCTGATTAATTTCTTAATGAGGGCCAGAGTTGAAGCACGTAGTGCTGAAATAGTTCCACCTGGAAGGTCCTGATGCGAAATATAGTAAAGCACCTATTCTCACCTGGAAGGTTTTTGGGATGACAAAAAATATATCAAACCTGAGGCATGTAGTACCGAATTGTTATCATATCTGGTTATACACCAAAGTATCACTGGTCGAAAATTGATAAAATATATACATATTGGATACCCGATATGTGTATGTTTTATCAATTTTCGACCAGTGTAATTAATTAATTATCAGTTTATGATATAATTATAACTAATATATAACTAATATATACAATATTTATAGAATACGAACAAGTGGGCCGAATAGTTATCAAAATGCTTAATAAAAATAATAAAAATAAAAAAATTGTTAGCAAAAATAATAAAAAAAAATCTAAAAAAAGAAATGAATCTTCCTCTTCTTCCTCTTCTTCCTCTTCTTCATCCTCTTCATTCTCTTCTTCATCCTCCTCTTCCTCACCATCATCATCTTCTTCTGCTGATGAATCTTCGTAATCAGCAGATGATGAATCTTCGTCATTATTTAAAGAAGAAAAGAAAAAGAAAACAATAAAATATTTGGATTCTGAATCTTATAAGCGAGTTAGGGTAAAATCGATTTTTTTTTTTGATTTTTTATATTATATATATATCGGACACAGAATAACTAATACAAATTTATATAATTATAGAAAGAATTATTTTTAATATATAAGTCAAAATATAAAAGCAAATATCCAATAAAAGCAGAATGTACGTGGCTGGAGCAACGTGACGATATAATTTCAAAACTTTTGTCCAAATTGAGCAAAATAATAAATGAAAAATATACAATATCGAATATGGAAATCAAAGAAATGCTACAATCGAGATGGCGAACTATGCATCGACAATGGAGGGTTAAAGTAAAGGGAAACGAAAAAATGAATTTGAGGAGAATGAAGAAGAATACGCAAATGGTGGTGGTAAGATTTTATAACAATATAATAATATAACTATCGGGTACAGTATTGATATAATTTTATTTTAATAGAAG